TATAGAGTCCACACCAACCCTCCGAAGAGCATAGTCACCCCCGCCACCCGATCCCTGCAACGCTGCATTTCCCATGGCCAGTCCACCTAACCTGCACATCTTTGACTGTAGGAGAAAACCCACACAGACTTGAGGAAAATGTGCAAACTCCACACAGATAGTCACCCAAGAGTGGAATTGAACCTGGTGCTGTGAGGCAGCAGTACTAACCACTGAACCACCATGCTGCCTAATCTGTGACATCTCCTTTAAACTTTCTCCCTTTCACCTTAAACTTATGTCCGCTAGTATTTGACATTTCCGTCCTGGGAAAGAGACTTTGACTACCCACCCCATCCATGCTTCTCAATTTTATATCCTTCTATCAGGTCAACCCTCAGCCTCCAACTTTCTAGCAAAACAATCCAAGTTTGTCCAACCTCTTCTTATAGCTGATACACTCCAATCCAGGCAATATCCTGGTGAACCTCTTCTACACTCTGTAGCCTCCACATCCTTCCTATAGTGCAACGACCAGAACTGCATACAGTACTCCAAATGTGGCCTGACCACAATCTTATACAGTTGCAACGTAACATGCCAAATTTTATACTCCATGCCCTGACCGATGCCATGTATGCCAAATGCCTTCTTTAACACCTTATCCACTTGTTGTCACTTTAAGGAAACTATGGACTTGGACCCCAAGATTCCTCTATATATCAATGCTACTGAGGGTATTTACATTTACAGTATACTTTCCTTTTGCCTTTGACCTCCCAAAATGCATCCCCTCACATTTGTACAGATTAAACTCCCATCTAACATTTCTCGGCCCAACTTTCCAGCTGATCTATATCTTGCTGCATCCTTTGATATCCTTCCTCACTATCCACACCTCTGCTATGTTCATGTCATCTGCAAACTTACTAATTAGACCACAGCCACTTTCATAAAAATCAACAGGGGTCCCAGCACTGATCACAGTTCTCCGTCCACAACTACCCTCTGTCTTCTATGGCCAAGCTAATTTGGTACTCAATTTACCTTGTGACTTAATCTTCCAAGTATTCTGCAGTCTCATCCCTAGTAATGAACTCTAAAATCCTACCACTGAGTGAGGTCAGTCTAACCAGTTTATAATTTCCTGTCTTCTGCCTCACTCCCTTCCTAAACAGAGATGATACATTAATCATTTTCCAGTTCTGGTATCCTCCCTGACTCCAGTGAATCCTGAAAGATCACCACCAATGCCTGCATGATTACCTCAGTTATCTCCTTCAGAACTCTGGGATGTAGTCCATCTGGTCTGGATGATTTATCCACCTCCAGACCTTTCAGTTTCTCCAGCATCTTCTCCTTAGTGATGGCCACTACACTCACCTTTGCCCCCTGACTCTCTTGGAGCTCTGGTATGCTGCTGGTATCTTCTAATGTGGAAACAGATGCAAAGTACTTATTCAGTTCCTCTGCCATTTCTTTTGTCCCCATTATACTTCTCCAGCCTTATCCTCCAGTGGTCCAATATCCACTCTTGCCTCTCTCTTACCTTTTAGATATCTTAAAAAAATCTTGTGCAAACTTCTATTATATTATTAGCTAGATTACTGTCATATTTCATCTTCTTCCCTCACTTTTTCAGTTTCCTCTGCTGGTTTTTAAAGACATCCCTATCCTCCCACTTTCCACCAATCTTCACCACATACTGTGCTTTTTCTTTTGCTTTTATGCTGTCCTGACTTCCCTTGTCAGCCATGGTTGCGTCTTCCTTGGGATGAATTTCTGCTGTACCTCCTGAATTATCCCCAGAAACTCCTGCCATTGCTGCTCCTCTGTCTTCCCTTCCAGTCAACTCTGGCCAGCTTCTCCCTAATGTCTTCGCGTACTTGTAATATCGTTACATCTGATGCCAGTCTCTCTTTGTCAAACTACAGGGTGAATGCTATCATATTATGGTCACTGGTCCCTAGGGGTTCCTTCACCTTAAGCTCCCTAATCAAGTCTGTTTCATCACACATCACCAAATCCAGAACTGCCTGTTCTGTAGTGGGCTCGACCACAAGCTGCTCCAAAAATCTATCTCTTAGACATTCCACAAATTCCTCTTCTTGCAATCTGCTACCAACCTGATTTTCTCATCCAGCTGCATCTTGAAGTCCCCCATGATTATTGTAATAGTGCCTTTCTTATATGCCTTTTCTATCTCTTGATGTATTTTCTTCCCCACCTCCTAACTACTGCTTAGAGGCCTATACACAACTGCCATCAGGGTCTTTTTTCCTTTGTGGCTCCTCAATTCTACCCATACAGATTCTATGCCTTCTAACACTATATCACTGCTTGTTATTGATTTAACTTCATTTCTTACTAACAAGGCAACCCCCTGCCCCCGCCCCACCTATCTGCATGTCCTTTAACTATATCCTTGGATATTCAGCTTGCCTTGATCCCCTTGCAGTTTCGTCTCTGTGATACTCACAACATTGTACCTGCCAATTTCAATCTATGCAACAAGCTCATTTACCTTGTTATGTATATTGCATGAATTTAATTATAACATGCTCAGTCCTGTGTTGATCACCAGCTTCCCTGCCCCCCACCTTTTCATAATTATTCCCTTACCTATTGTGACTGAAGTTAGATTCCTGAGCCCTTCGACACTCTCTATCCTATTGGCTGATCCCTGCACGCCCCTTCTGCTTAACTTTTTCCATAATTTTCTGTGGAACAGACACCCCCCCTCCCCCAAACCATTAGTTTAGAGCCTTTTGCACAGCCTCAATTATGTGATTTGCCGGGACTCTGGTCCTAGTATGATTCAGGTGGAGCCCATTGCATCCTCCTTTCCCCAGTACTGGTGCTAATGTCCCATGAATTCAAACCCTTTTCTCCCACACCAATCTTTGAGCCAAGCGTTTACCTCTATTCTTGGTGAGACTGTGCCAATTTGTTCGTGACTCAGGTAGTAATCTGGAGATTATTAACTTTTGGGTTCTGCTTTTTAATTTAGCCCCTCGCTGCTCAGCTGAAACATTTTCCTGTTTCTACCTCTTGTCGTTGTTACCTACGTATCTTTCCCCTCCCTCTCCAAGCTTCTGTGCAGCCCAGGTGAGATAGTGGTTCAAATAGGTGGCTCACCACCCCAGTTGCCCGGGCAATTAGGGATAGGCAAAAAATGCTCACTCAGCTAACAACATCCACATCCCATGAAGGAGTAAAAAAATGTTTGTACTCTCTCAAAGACTATGTAGATATATAACACTTGTTTGTTTTTTTTTAAAGAATTCAGCAAGGTTGTTCAAATCAATGCTGATTACCAACAAACTTCTTTTTTGTATTGTAGGCAATTTATTTAAGTGTGCAGCCCTCTAAATGTTTTGTGTGGCTGTGCATGTTTTTTTCACTAAAAGGGGCCAGTTGTGTGCAGTCTGTATGGAAGCTTTGGCATTGCTTTGAAGCTGTGCAGCTCAGAGGAAACATCACCGGCTACGAGATTGAAAAACTATCTCTAGATGTTTTTCTGTCACGTCTTTGTATGTTGATTCCATTAACTTTTTTTGAGTAAAAGCAGAAGTTGCTGGAAAAGCTCAGCATGTCTGGCAGTATCTGTGAAGAAAAATTAGAGTTAATGTTCCGGGTCCAGTGACCTTCCTCAGAACTGACGGTAGCTAGGAAAATGTTGCTTTATGTGCAGAAGATGGGTGGGGGGACAGGGTAAGGAGTAAATGATTGTTGGGGATAGAACTCAGAGAGAGAGAAGAGCAGTTGGGTAGACAAAGGAGTTGATTATGACCTGGTTAGGTGGGTGAATAGCTGTTAATGGGGACTGTTAGTGACTAACAATAGGTAGTGTGTAATGGCAGACTATGTCATAACAAAGTTGGGTGTGTGGAGTAGGGAGATAGGAGATGGGAGAGTTCAGGCCCTAAAATTATTGAACTTGATATTGAGACCGGAGGGCTGCAGGGTCCCCAAGTGGAAAATGAGGGATGTTGGCCAAGGAACAAGGTAGTGTGTTAAAGTGGCAGGCAACTGGAAGCTCTTTGTTTGCAGGCAGGACATAGATGTTCTGCGAAGTGGTCACCCAGTCTATGATTCAATTCTCCAGTGTAGAGGAGACCACACTGTGAGCGGCAAATGGAGTAGATTAGGTTGTGTGAAGTTCTGCTTCACCTGGAAGGTATGTTTGGGCCCTTGGATGCTGGGGAGGGAGGAGGTAAATGGGTAGGTGTTACACTTCTTGCAGTTGCAGGGGATGGTGCCGTGGATCTGTGGGGTGTGTTGGGAGTGAAGAAAGAGTGGACCAAAGTGTTCTGTAGGGAATGGTCCCTGTGGAAGGCAGACAAGGGAGGGGAGGGGAATGTGTGTCAGGTGGTAGTGGAAATGGCGTCTGCTGATCGTTTGGATGTGGATACTGGTAAGGACAAGGAGAGAAGAATGATGAGGGCGGAAGTGCAGGAGATGGATCGGAGGACCTTGTCAACAATGGTACTGGGGAATCCTCGGTTGAGGAAGAAGGTGGATATTTCGGAGGCTCCCTTGTCTAAGTTGAACATATATGCTGGAGACAGAAGAACTGAGAGAATGGAATGGAGTTTTTACAGAAGGCAGGGTGCAAGGATGCATAGCCCAGGTAACTGTGGGAGTTGGAGGGTTTATGGTGGATCTTAGTAGCCAGTCTATCCCCAGAAATGGAAACAGATGTCGAGAAAAGGAAGGAAGGAGTCAGAGAGAGACCAGGTGAAAGTGAGGCCAGGGTGGAAATTGGAAGTGAGATCAATGAACTTTTCCAATTCCGGACGAGAGAAGGAAGCACTACCGATTATGTCATCGATATATCAGAGAAAGAGTTGTGGGTGGGATCCAGAATAGGACCGGAACAGCAAATGTTCCATGTACCCCACAAAGAGACAGGCATAACTGGGGCAGCATAACTGTTACAGTGGGGATTTTAAAAGAAACTGTTTGATTGAAACTTAATAAAAGCTTGTGATTTTGAACTGGCGTTGATAATTTTACAGGAAATATTCTGCCCATCGTCAGGATGGATCCTTCCATTATCTACATCAGACTCACTTTGGAAATTACTCTTTCATCTGTGTTGACGCCACCTTGAGTCCTGGTCCCAAAAGACCACTCAATTTCTTTGGTGTCTTGCAGCAGGTAGGAAGATAATTATTTGCATTATAGAGAATTAGAACTTTCTTCTAAATTATCATGTGAAGGCTAACCTAATGAGCAACTAATGAGCAAATTGCCAGAGTTAAATTTGCACCAGTGTCCTATAAACTGTACAGCAACAGAACTAATACATTACTGTACCTGAAGTAGGGTCTTTGCCATCCAGTCAGGTTCCTGTTGTTGGAAATGCTACCTACATGTCTTTTATCCTAGCCAGTATTTATCACTCAAGCATTTAAAAGACAGTTTATCTGGTCGTTGATCTCGTTGATGTTTGTCAAGCTATGTATGCATAGTACCTACCGCCTTTCCTTAATTTACAGCAGTGACACTGCCAAAGCAGCGAATCAGTGTAAAGTCAATGAAGATGTCCAAAACAAATGCAAGTTGTTTTCCTTTAGGTGCGTAGGTACCAACAGCATAAATTACTCCAATGGACAGAGTGTGCAAAGAGTGCAGCTATCTTAATTAAACACAGCAGCATTCCTTCCGGAATGCAATCTGCTGTATCTAGGGTGGAGTCAGGTGAGGTTAGAAGACAGCTGCTGGACAGTGGAGCTGAAGGCTGGCTGCAAGATCAGAGAGTGGGTAGGAGGTAACAAATTACAGCAAACTATACTAAATCTGTCCAATACTTTGCAGAATAAAATGTGTGAATTGTCAAAACTAGCATCTGAAACAGTCAACAGCAATCAAACCATTTGGCTTGGCCATTACACCACCTCCACTATCATTTCCGCCTCTCCTGGTATGCAGCAACTCATGAGGTGAGAGATTTTCTTTACTTTTTAAACAACAAGGCTGATATGGGAACATGAGAACAGCAGAGGGCCTTACTGTGATTGGGTACTAGTGGGCCTTGGCGATGGTGGGTGGGGATGAGTGATTGTGGTGTTTGCATGCAGGTTATTTTGTGTCTGTGAGACATCAATCTATATGTGAGGCCAATTTATTTGGTATTTACGTCCCCAAGTTTCCTGTTTGATGGTGATCATTAATTTAGCTCATTCTTGATTGTGCGTGATGTCATTAGAACATGGATCTCATGCGGTACACTGGCACTGAGATTGTAGTGTGGGCGATAGACATCAACTGGGTCCCTCCATATAGGGCCTGGCAGCCAACTTTAACAGTGCTGTGTGTTGGGAATGCACACTTGGTTTCTAAAAACAAAAACAATCACACTTGATTTGAAATATTTAATTGACCCAATGCTTGCAAGTTTCTGGGAAGAAAGTTCCAGATTATTGCCAATCTTTGTGTGAAGCAGTGACACTCTGAATGGTCTACTTCCACCGATGGCAGGTTAGGCTGACTTCTTCCACCAGAGATAATAATTTCTTTCCATCTACTCGATCAAATCCTTTAACTCCCTACACACTCCAATTTGAGTGCCATTTCTTCTACATTAAAGCAGATAAAAGCTCAATCTGTACTGCCTGTCATATTTTTAGTGAATTTGGAATCTGAAACAAAAATGGTCAGTGGAGATTTTTCAGGCTGGAGGAGGGTTTCATGCAGTTCCTCAGATGTTGTTATTTGAACCCTTGCGTTTCCTGTTATATATTAATGATATGGATCTCAGTGTGCAGGGGACACTTTAAAAGTTTGTAGATGACACAACACTTGGAAGGATTACAAACGATGAGGACTCCAAAAGAACAAGTTGGTGGAGTAAGCAGATAGATAGGTGGTTCAATGCAAAGAAGTGTGAGGTGTTACACTTTGGTTGGAAGAATGTTGAAAGACAATATAAAATAGGGATACAATTCTGAAGGGGATGCAGGAGCAGAATGTGGCAGTAAATAAAGCATACAGTGTACTTTGCTTATTCGGGCATAGAGTACAAGAGCAAGGAAGTGATGCTGAACCTATGTAAGACACCTATTAGACCTCAGCTGTACAGTTGTAGATACCACATTATGGGAAAGATATGAATGTGTAGAAGCGTTTTACAAGAATGATTCCAGGCATGAGGGACTTCAGTTAAGAAAACAGATTGAAGAAGTTGGGACTGTTCACCTTTCAAGAAGGCAGCTAAGAGGAGTTCTGAGAGATGTTTTCAAAATCATGAGTGAGCTGATAGAGTAGATAGGGAGAAGCTGTTCCTGTTTGTAAAAAGAACAAGAGGGCATAGATTTAAAATGACATGCAAAAGAAGCAAGGGTGAAATTATGAAAAATTTTCATTCAATGAGTGTTTGGGATGTGAATTGCACTGCCTAGAAATGTGGTGGAGGCAGGTTCAATTGAGACATTCAAGAAGGTAGTAGATGATTATTTTTATACAAATAATGTGCAAAGATCTGGGGATCAAGCAGGAGTTTGACACTGTTATGATGCTCATTTGAAAAGCCAGTGCATGCATGATGGGTCAAATGACCACCTTCTGCGCTATAACAATTCTGTGATACTGTGAAAAAGCAGATGGCATTAGAAACCCAACAGGCTTATTGACATGCCCAGAGAGAAAAATGGATCAACCAGGTGAGTTAGGTGACAGCCTAGGTGTAGTTAGCTGTCAAGACATTAAAGCCTGCATTAATGAGCCTTAACAAAACTGCAACCAGTGTGAGTCAGGTAGAAAACTGTCTGCTGATTGGAGGCATACCTGACATACAGTAAGATGATTGTGGTCAGTCATCTCAGCACCGGACATCTCTGCAGGAGTTCTTCAGGATAGTATCCTAGGCCCATCTTCAGCTGCTTTGTCAATGACCTGCACTCCATCATAAGGTCAGAAGTGGGGATGTTCGTTAAATGACTGCACAATGTTCAGCACCATTTGCCACTCATGAGATACTGAAGCAGTCCCTGTTCAAATACAGCAAGATCTGGACAATATCCAGGCTTAGGCTGACAAGTGGCAAGCAACATTCACACCACACAACTGCCGGTCAGTAACCATCTCCAATATGAGACAATCAAACCACCCATCCTTCACAATCAATGGTGATACGATCACTATCACAACACTCCTGGAGGTTACCATTGACCAGAAACTGAACTGGACTCAACATATAACTATTATGCCTACAACAGCAGATCAGACACAAGGAATACTGCAGTGAGTAACTCTCCTCCTGACTCTTCAAAGCCTGTTCACCATCTCCAAGAACAAGTCAGGAATGATGAGTATATTTCCCAACAAAACTCAGGAAGCTTGACACCATCCAGGACAAAGCAGCCTGCTTAATTGGCATCACATCCAGAAATATCCACTCCCTCCACCACCGACTCTCAGTGATAGCAGTGTGTACTACCTACACTAAAGAAATTCACCAGAGATCCTTAGATCCCGATATCTCAGTGTGCAGGGCAAGGGCAACAGACAATGGGCACACCACCACGTTCAAGTTCCTCTTCAAGCCACTCATTATCCTGACTTGGAAATATATTGCTTTTCCTTCAGTGTTGCTGGGTCACTATCCTGAAAATCCCCATCTAACAGCATTGTGGGTCAACCTGCAGCATGTGGACTGAAACAGTTCAAGAAGGCTGCTCACCACCACTTCCTCAAGGGCAACTAGGGATGAGCAATAATGCTGGCCTAAATTCCACAAATGAATAAAAAGAAACTCAAGACACTGATCAATCTCTTGCACAGTCCAGTGATTCATGTTCATTTCTTTAAATAAGGGAGTTAGTTAGCTCAGGTGGCTGAATGATTGGTTTGTGAGACACAGGGATGCCAATAGCACGGACAGCACAGATTCAGTTCCTGCTCTGACTGAGGTTACCATGGAGGACTCTCCTTCTCAACCTCTCCCCTCACCTGAGGTGTGATGACCCTCAGGTTAAACCACCCCCAGTTGTTTTTCTGTAATGAGAGAGCAGCCCTACGGTCTGATAGGACCATGATGACTTGACCTTATTTAAATGTAAGTGACAATAACGTGAGAAGAGGATTATTCCTCCATCCATGGACACAGTCAAATTCACTTTTCCTTGTTTCCAATAGAGTGGGATTTTGCTTGAGGTGTCTATTGTGGCTGCACCTCCTTGTGGCACGCTGCTCAACCCCCAATTTGCTCACAGTGCTTTTGAAATTCTTTGTGGACCTCAAACTGAAAGATAAACAAATCTTTGTCCTTTCCTGATTGGGTTAATTAATGAAAACATAATGCCTCACTTTTAGGAGGAGTGAATGAACAGTGAACCAGAAAGAGGTCTCAGATATGGATGAGAGGAAAAGGTGAGGGACTGTGTTGTAACGCAGGTCACCATGTTCATGAAGAGCATTAAAAGGGAAAATAACTGTCTGAAGGCAAGAACAAGCAGAATGATAGAATCAAAATGTGGCCATTCAGCCCATTGTTCTTATGCGAGCACCTTGAATGAGTTGTGCAGTTAGCCCCAAACCTCTGCATAAAGTTTATGGCTTTCTATTTTAAGGCATTTTGGTCAGGGGACTGTGCTTTTAAATGCTTGCAGGACCCCAAGGCTAACCAAATATAAATGCATTCCCCACCAGGAGGGTCTTAGGGCTGTCCGCTTCTTCCTGGAGCAAAGACCTGACCCATCCCCACTCACCACCACCCTCCTCTGCTTGCTGAGCTTGTCCTCATCCTCTTTCAACTCCTGTCATTTTCTTCAGGTAAGAGGGGTTGCCATGGGTACCGCATGGGCCCTAGTTATGCCTGTCTCTTCATAGGGTACGTGAAACATTCCTTGTTCCAGTCCTCTTCCGGCCCCCACCCACAACTCTTTCTCTGATACATCGATGATATCGTCGGTGCTGCTTCCCTCTTTCATCTGGAATTGGAAAACTTCATCAATTTCGCCTCCAATTTCCACCATGCCATCACGTTCACCTGGTCTATCTCTGACTCCTCCCTTCCCTTCCTCAACATTTCTGTTTCCATTTATGGGGATAGACTGGTCACTAATATCCACTACAAACCCACTGACTCCCACAGCTATCTGGACTATACATCCTCACACCCTGCTTCCTGTAAAAACTCCATCCCATTCTCTCAGTTTCTCCGTTGCATATGTTCAGATGAGGCCAACTTCGACAAGGGAGCCTCCGAAATGTCCACTTTCTTCCTCAACCGAGGATTCTCCACCTCCGTTGTCGACAGGGACCTCAATCAGGTCCGACCCATCTCCCGCACTTCCACCCTCCCCCGTTCTCTTCCCACCCGCAACAGCGATAGGGTTCCCCTTATCCTCACCTACCATCCCACCAGCATCCACATCCAGAAGATCATCAGACGCCATTTCCGCCACCTCCAGCAAGATGCCACCACCAGGTACATATTCCTCTCCCTCCCCTCCCCTCCCTTTTCCGCCTTCCGCAGGGACCGTTCCCTCCGGGACACCCTGGTCCACACTTCCTTCACCCCCAACACCTCCCCACAGCCCTACGGCACCTTCCCCTGTAACCAGCGAAGGTGCAACACCTGCTCATTTACCTCCTTCCTCCCGGTATCCAAAGGCCCAAACATGCCTTCCAGGTGAAGCAACACTTCACCTGCACTTCACAGAATCTGGTCTACTGCATTCGCTGCTCACATTGTGGTCTCCTCTATTTTGGGGAAACGAAGCATAGACTTGGCAACCGCTTTGCAGAACATCTTCGTTCTGCTCGCAAAAAAGATCCTGAACTACCTTTTGCCTGCCACTTTAACACACCACCCTGCTCCCTGGCCAACATCTCTGTCTCTGGCTTGCTGCAGTGTTCCAGCGAAGCCCAATGCAAGCTGGAGGAACAACACCTCATTTTCCGCTTGGGGACCCTACAGCCTTCCGGACTCAATACTAAG